GATTGGAGGAATGATTCAAAAGCCCTGGACATGCATTGAGAGACGAGGCATAGTCACTGCTGTGTTAGGGGTGGGGTTTCTCACAGTCAAAACTCATACTGAAGCTTGGTCCCAAATAAAACCAGACTGAAAGGTGGTGCAGCCTTCAGGAGATGAGCAGACGGGAAGTGACTGGGCCATGTCTGCCTTCATGAAGGCATTTTTATGGCTTCTTAGAGAAGTGCAGATTAGTTTTCAATAAAGAGAGCAATCAGGTTGTTATCAAAGAAGACTCCTCATCCCCACACACACTCTCTCATTTTCCACCATGTGACTTCTCATTCTCTCAGTGCTCTTGCCTAGCATGTGTTTAACACAGTCAACACAGTCTTGTTAGATGCTGGCACCTTGCTGTTTGGATTTTCCAGCAAAAAAACATGAGCCAAATAAACCTCATTTCTTTATACATTACCAAGCATCAGGCATTCTGTGATAGCAACACAAAACAGTCTAAAACAGTCACCCACACCTGAGAGCATCTTCCTCTCCCTCAAATAGGACCATCTCCTAGCACAGAGAATGAAACCTGTTAATGCTCCACATTTACTCAGTAGAATCCAAATGTTAATTGGAATTTTCCAAATTGAGGCTACTACTTAGGAATAAAAAAAAATCACAAGCATGAGTTATGAGGAAAGATGAACCATCAAACTTTACCTGACCTTGTGAATTACCTTAATCTCTTTTATATACTTAACACATCACATCAAGAACAGAGCGATAACAACAAGAGATTGGGACATTCTCTTAGTCTATTAGTGTTGGGGACCTCCAGGATTTTGAGAGCCATGAAACTTCATGCAGAAAAATAACCTTAAGTTTCTCCATTTCTGAAACCTGAAATCCATGTACCAGTCATTTTAATGTTTGATCATTTGAAATATAGCAAATCTGGCAAATTTATATTTAACTAGTTGGTATTTTAAGCTTTAAATTTTTTTCATATTTTATTCTCTAATGTAAAGTAGCCTGAATCAAAACAGACTAATCCATGGCATGTTATGAAACAAAAAAATAGCTGTACACAAACACACACACACACACACACAAACACACGATTTTTTCCTCTTTTTTATTTTTCCATTTAGTTCCCTAAAATGTAATTTTAAAGTGCTAGGTTTTCTTTCAAAATCATCTATTAGCCCTACTGGATAAGCATCTATATATTCAGTTAGCTATGAAATATCCTTTCTCAGCCTCACTGTTCACTGATCAGCAATATACTGCCAAAATGCTGTGGAAATCTCAAGCTTATAGTAAGGTTGATATTTCAACTGTAAAATATACAAAAAGTAGGTTTGTGAGGAATTAGCCTTTTTATAAGCATTTGTGCTGATAGCAGTAATTATATCATAGAATACATTTTCAAGAAGCATAGTTTCATCCCTTTTAGAATTTGGGGATCTGTGGAATTTACTTGGCAATTCTTTGGAAGAAATAATTTAATAAAATAGTCACTTATGATTTGTTCATCAAGTGTTTACCAGTTGTTTTTTAAGTAATTTTTCGTGATGAAGTCCAAAATGTAATTTTCCTGGAAAGCCATTTTATGTTTTAATAGACAGGTCAAAATTGAATCTATTTATGGTATACAACATGACATATTGATATGAAATCATGCACTGCATAAAGATGGACCCCAGATACAGCTGTGACCCTATAAGACTGAATTATCTAGTTACTATCTAGATTACTATCTACATTACTATCTAGATTTGTGTAAGTGCACAACAGTCTCACCAGCAATTTCCAGAATGTGCCTCCCCCACTCAGGGGAGTGTACACACACACAGAGAGAATGAAGTAGCTAAGCCAGCTAATTACCATATGCATTTCCTCACACATATATCCCTTTTTTTTTTCTTTTTGTAGTGAGATGGAAAGCTAGTTTTATAGGGTTTTTGTCCTGACCCTATTGAAAAGATCATTGCTGTTGATCTGAAAAAATCTGAATTGCTCAGGTTATATGTTATACATAAGAAGTGAATGTCAGGCCAGGTAGATAGCTCACGCCTGTAATTCCAGCATTTGGGCAGCTGAGGCAGGAGGCTCACTGCGAGTTCAAGGTCAGCCTGGGCTACAAAGTGAGTTCAAGGCCAGCCCAAACTGTATAGTGAAACTTTCTCTCAAAAAGACAGGAGGAGGAGAAGGAGAGGTGAAGGTCAGAGTGGTCATTTTTGAATGGATCCCTCTCCTGAATGACAGTTCCTGTGATTCAATAACCATCCCTTTCCTAGCAAAGTTACCAAATGTGGCAAGCACATAAACTTTGGAAAAGAATAGCTCCTGAAAGACCTTTGCTTACTAAAGGAATATATCTTCTTGGCCACTGAAATGTTTAGGTATATTAAGCCAGTAGGACCAAAGGGAAGTCTACAACAAAATGTGTGTTTTGAGGGAAGACAATGGGGACCCCATGTTCTCTCCTTGCAAACTAAGTCATCTGGAGTGTGTGGAACGGGACTGCTGGTAGACTCCCTGCCTGATATGTAATTAGCAATGTCTCTAACAACTTTTATGTTTCCATTTAACATCTGTGGATAGCTCTAATCTCAGCTTCATTTCATTATTAATCTTTTGAGAAATCTCTCTGCCAACATAAAAGACATGCATATAAATTGCCCACCATGCCTCTGCAAGTTAAACAAAATGTGCTCCAGCATGCCTCAAATCTGAAGGCTCTGTGCAGTTGACTCCCAAGGGCTCTGTCTCAATATGTTAGAGCTCCCCCACGTATACTGCACAATACTTTAATCAGAAATTCTGACCCTATGGTCTGTGCGGAGGAATTTACCCAATTCTGCTTTTGACCCTCTTCAAAAGGTGCTTCCAAGTAAGTTCAAATTGACCATCTATGAGCCAAGTTCACTCTCACCATGTATTAGTCCCTCTCTGCACCCCTAGGAGGGGAAAAGCTTTGAGGATCAGAATACTATTATAAGCCCTATGAACGGAATGTGCCACAAATAAGAAATATAGACATATTTGCCTACAAGTGTCTATAAACATAATTGTCAATGAAACTTGCTTCTAGGTAAAAATAAAACAGAGATCAGGTAAAAATAAAACAAAACAGAGATCTGAGTTAGCAATGGCAAAGCTGTATAGTCAGATATGGTCACATAAGGACAAGGCCTTGGAGTACAACCAAGTGTCCTCGAGGTAGGGAAATGCTGTCTTTGACACTTTTGACACCAAAGCCAATAGGCTTTGAACCCTTGGAACATAGGTATTATTTTTCACAAGCTGCTAACTTGGTGAACTTCTGGTTGAGCTGATTTTAAGCTAGTAGAATAAGAGAACATCCTCCCCCAAACCCACCCCCACTTATGGGCGGGTTGTCAGCACCACTCAGAACTCAGATCTAGGATGAACATCACCCACATCACACAGGGGTTTGTTAAAAATGCAGATCCTCAGCCCTCACCCCAGACTGAGGCAGAATCTCAAGGTGGGGCCCAGTGGAGTGAGTTCACACTCTGCCAAGTGCTTCTGACGCACACAAGAGTGTAAACATTAATTCACCCACCCTTCCTCCCTCAGGGCCAAGATCCTCAATTTGGAGAACAGATGACCAAGTTCCTAGTAAATACCACATTTCCCAGCCTCCCCTGCGACAGGGGTCAATTATACCTCTGGAAGCATCTCGGAAGGGCTTCCAAGAGAGCAATTTAGGGGGAGAGTGGCCAGGCCAGAGGTGCAAGTCCTTCATTTCTTGTCCTCTACCCCTTTCCTAAATATGGATGTGAAGACCGGTGCTCCAACAACCATCTCAGCCTGTGAGGTAGCCGCAGGGATAGAAAATATGCACTAGTGGTCAGAGTCAGCCGTGGCTACCTTTCCTTCAGTTTCCTCTTATATGAAAGAGAAATAAACCTTTTAACTCGTTATAAGCTTATTATAAAAGGGTTTATTTGGGTTTCTAGTTACATGCTATCCCACCTGATCCTCACTAAATCCCAATTATTGCAGTGTCCTTAACATAGCTGCCAGATTGAAAAGCCGGATGTGTGGACAGAAAGCTTTCCCAGGCCTACAGGGAGCCTCACCCACTAAGACAGACGCAGCTTGCATGCCTGAGCCCTCTGCGCTCTTCCCCACACACCGAGTGCAAAACTGATGGCATCTGTAGAAAACCAGCAAGCGCATCTTTTCCCTTACCTGGTTGATAAAGAGACTGACATTTTCCTTAAAGAAAAGAGAAAGTGGAGGAACGACCATTGTCAGAAGTCCAGTGGGACAGGGAAAGTGATAAGCAGTCCATCATACAGGAGGTGTGCTTTACCTGTTGTGAGGCCACTGTCCTCGGCATTAGCACAGATTTAATGTCCATCCTGCCCACTTGCCATAGGTGGAGGAAGGCAGGGACCGCAACCAGCAGTCTCATCATTTTATCCCCAGGTCACGCAGGGGCTTACCCAGAATTTGTGGAGGGAACGAAAGAATAAAGGGAAGGAGAGAAGGAAGGGATAAACAGGTGACTAAATGCCCATCTCTTCATGTTTATTCTGATCCTCCCATTGTTCCAGGTAAAACGACCAAGTGAATATGACACCACCAGTCCTGGAGCATGAAGGGTAAGTGCTGGTCACCTTGTCCCACTCCAACAAGACCCGATGGTGGGTTCTGCAGAGGCACCAGTGGCCTTAGGATGAGTCCGTGAAAAGAGGAGAGCGCCACTTCTAGCCATGTGTCACCTTGCTCACATAGTAACCTCTCCAGGTCCCTGTATGAAGGAAATGAGTCCTAGGGTGCCACCCCAGCCAGGTCAGTCAGTTAAGAATACAAAAGAGACCTCACTTCCTGCAAGTAATCTTTAACCCAAGTTTGTAGAGATTTGCTTACATCATTTTTATTGTTTTTTAATGCACTCCCATAAGATATCACAGAACCCTAGGAATGGAATTCTTTATTACATAACCTCAAGCTAATGGGCTACAAACTTCACAAACAGACACATCTCTTTCACTAGATGCCTTTAATAAAACAAAAGATCAAAAAGGAGCATCAGGCGATGACACAATACAGTTGAGATTCTTAAAAGTAACAAACTACTCCAAAATGGGGCATCAAGAAATACATCATGAACCTTGCACAGATCAGAACCTTGCTCAACGAAAGAGCACCTCAAGCCTTTAGCCCTCCACGGATGCCGCTGGGAGTTCCTGGAGGTAGAACACGAAATGAAAAAGTATGGGTGGCCAGGAAAGCTGTACATTATCCCCCAGTGACCTGCCACAGAGACTATTTTTAAAGACACATTCATCTCAGCAGGAGCGATAGCACAGAAGAAGTGGCAGGTACCAGGGCCAGACAATCCTTCACAGGGAAGGCCACAGGCTGGCCACGGCTGCCCCCTTCCCACGGGCCCGTGTGATGGATGAGACAAGACCTGCCCTTGGTTGGTTAGGCAGCTGGTTGAAGGAGCCATAAAGATAATGATGTAGTTCGAGCTTAGAAACCAAAGGGAGTTAACCCAAAGTCACGCCAGCCACCCCTGCCTCAAAATTCACCAGATTTTAAATTCACACCATTCATCTTAACTAGAAATGCAATCCCTGATTGCCTCATACATTTCTTAAGTAGTAATTGCTTGATTAATTGTATTATCCCATCAGAGAATAATGTTAAGAAGGAATTGGTGGTCCCAGATCCACACATCTCTCTTGTACAAACCTAGCCACTATATTTCAAATCACATGAACAGGGAAAGTATATTACAGCTATATTACAGAGTCTCTCATTATTGGCATAGCAATATGTTAGTTAATGCCTATAAAACATTGAGATCAACATAAATACACAGTGGTATATTTATATATATACATAAATGTATACATTAGAGGAATCAGGGAGTCAAACCATGGTTGATGTGTCTTCCTCCCCTGTACAGAAAAAAATGAGACAAGAGCAGCAGAGTAAATGCTTTAATCATTAAAACTGATCTCAAATTGAGGGTGGGAAAGGTGTCAGATCATTTTTTCTTTCCCCTATTCACTTGCTAATCAAGAGAATTACAGAAAGATAGCTTGCCTTGAGCATTTCCTCAAGACTGAGAAAACACTCAATTCAGCAATTATTACTCTGTGCCAAATCTTGGGAGATTTCTGATGGGGAAAGAGAAGCACGGCACAACTATTGAGAGCGCTGCAAAACAACTCAGCAAAATAGTTCTTGCAGAGTGATGCTCGCTTGGCGTGGGAAAGTTCACCATCAGGGCAGGAACTCCCAGCTAACTGCTTCTTTCATTGCTAGAAGTTCTGATGGCTAAAAAGTTTGTTTTGCATCCAGTCAAGACTTCAGTCTACTGCTGAACCTTAGCAGAGCAGTTTGTCTTGGGCTCCTTGCCCCACTCATTGACCTTTTAATTTTCCAAACTGCATCTCAGGTCTCTTACAGTCCTGAAAAAAAACTTTATCTGATACTAATTATATGCCTCCACTCCCAGTGGTCAGAGTTTTAAAAGCCCACAACAGGAACACATAGCACTGGTGTCTTGTGAGAACCGACCATCACGACAAATGTGCTTTACTGCTAAATTTACGTCTTGAAGAACTACTAAGCTTCACCATTCCTCCCATGCCCTGTGTCATTTTATTCTTGCCTGCAAAGATGCCCAAGGTCATGGGATGCTCCTCATATTGCTTCTGGGTGAGCAACAAAGCCAAACACCAGCACTGAGGACCATGAGCTTGACCTTCAAAGTGATCTATGTAGGAGGACAAAGTAACCAGTCCACCTACATAATGAAAAGTGCTTGGCTCAAATGAAACTGTACTTAGTTAAGTGCCTCCTTCTGATGACAAGTTAAATGGCATTAAGAAACTGCTTACATTTCATTAGACTCAATTTGGGGATCCAAATACCAAGTTCTCCCAAAATATGGTTAAAATGCTGACAATCTTTGCAGCTGCCATTTGTGAAAGAAAAACCCAAAGAAAGTTACATACAAACTTAGTTTACAGAATAGCTTGACCATTGTGTTTCTTTGAACAGAGCAGCACAAGAATAAATATTCTTACATGTGTCCCCAGTCATTACAGAAAGCTTAAGACACTAGAGAAAAGTTCACCTCTAGAGACAGTGCTCAAATATTTGGTTTTTTTATGTCAAAGTACCTTTGATGCTATTGTGCCAATTTTCAAGTGGAAAATATGTCAGTGATATTTTCAAATGCAAAAATATACATATCCTATTCTTCAAGCCCAATATTCATGTAATGCCTCCAACTCCAGCCAGGTCATTGGGCTAGGTCACTGGGCTCCCAGAGCTTTTTGGAGAAGTGTGAGTGTCTCTCACCCTAAAATTCATTTTGAAAAATATAAGAGCCCTTGCACTTCACTTAGGGAAATGCATACTCTTTGCTTATTACGTGCACCCACTAAAGAGTTCTCTTCTTACCTTGAGCTGGGGAGACCTGAAGCCAAGCACACAGTTCTGGGGTTCTAAGGCTGGCTCAAGGCACCCCCAAATCACCTGAGAAACATACATACTGACAGCTGAAATGGGTCCTAAACTACAGGTCACAAAATCAACTTCTTATCCTGAGCTATCCAAGGTCTCCTGTGGCCACTGAGAGTCAGGAAGTGGGGCTGCAGTTAATTATCCTGGCCAAGATCCTTTCAATCTGTCCTCTCCCCACAGGCTGTTCACATCAGGACCTGCTCTCGAGTCTCTGGCAGCCGAAGGGCAATCAGGCCACCCCCAACCAGAGAAGCAGCAGCCAGAAGGATGGGGACCACTTTAGTTATCCCAACAAAAGAAGCAAAGATAGTGTTTCCCAGGATGGCGCCAAATTTGCATAATCCATTGAGGATGCCAAAGGCTGTTGCCCTGCAAAAGAAGAGAAGAAATAATTTTGAATGTCTGGAATACATGGAGGAATGAGACTGGGTTCTTTCTTTTCCTTGTGGCAAGAACAGAAGATGTGGGAAGTATTTCTTTCCTAAATGTAAAAGCAACACATTCTCATGTAGCCAAATCTGAAAATACAGAAAAATACAAAGATATAGGGGTGTCTAAGGCCATCACCACTATATTATTATTATCGTCAAAAATTTTTTAGCTTTTCAAATATATCTCTTCTTAAAATGTTTGCTGGTAGTACTTGCTTATTTGAAATACCAAAAAAATTATCAAGTATCCAAAGTAGAAAGTGTATTTCCCCTTCATAACATCTCCTCATGGCTGAGACTATTAGTTGTATTTGCATCACATTTCTCCAACTGTAAGACTACATTTCCCAGATACCCTTGCTGCTCACTGTGGTCATGTGACAGGTTTGACTAATACAGTATAAACTCAAGTGGCCTCTACTGAAAAACTCCTTTGAGAGGCCATGAGCCTTTTGCTCTCTCCTCTTTCATCCTTCTTCCTCCAATCTTACTGGAACTCAGATGGTCTCATCCCAGACACGACTAAGACTATGCAAGGGAGAGTAACATTGAAAGTTCATATCTCAATGGCCATTCTGTCTGGACTAAGATGGAATATTAGTGCTGTTTTAACTTGCATCTCTTGAATGATCAGTGATATTGAACGTTTTTTCATATGTCTATTTGCTGTTTGTATTTGTTCCTCTGAGAAGTGCATATTCATCTCAGATGTCCTTTTTTGGTTCGGGTCTTTGAATTTAAGTGGGTTCTAATTTTTTTCAATTCTTTATGTGGACAATTGGCCAAATTTTTTCCCAGTTTGTGGGCTGTCTCTTCACTCTACTGGAAATGTCTTTTGCTGTGCAAAAAAGGCTTTTAATAGAAGCAGATCCCAGTTGTTGATTCTTTGTAGTATTTCCCATGCAACCAATAATCTTGTTCGGCAATAGGGGAAAAGGAACCCTTCTCCACTGTTAGTGGAGTGTAGACTGGTACAACCACTGTGGAAATCAGTGTAGAGATTCCTCAAAAAACTAAAACTAGAAGTTCCATTTGATCCCACTATTCTCCTTTGTATCTTCCCTCTAAAATTAAAAGCATAGTACCACAGTGATATATATATATATATATATATATATATATACACACCCATGTTCATGGCAGCACAGTTTGTAATAACTAAATCTTGGAAACAGCCCAAATGCCCATCAAATGGATAAAGAAGATGTGGGTTTTTTGTTTTGTTTTGCTTTGTTTTATGTTCTGGAGGAAAATCATGAGACATTCCTAGGTAACTGGATATACCTCGAGACCATACTCTTAAGTTCACTTAAATCAGGTACACATATGTAAATATCACATTGCTTCTGGAGTGTGAGACACAGAAGGGGTAAATATGGACCAAACTGTCCAATTGGTATTGTGAGATAGGAAGAAATTGTTCAAAAGAAAGGGAAACTAGGGAGGACGAGAGGGAAAGGAAAAAAGGGAAAAGAAAAACATGATAAAAGGTAGATGAAATGGAAACAAAGCTTTGCAAATCAGGAGGACAAGAAGGGTTAAAGGGAAGGGAGGAGACTTTAAAAAGAAAGAGGAACCAGGATCTACCATGTATATGTACAAATCCCCTTTGATGAATGTGATCATTATGTATATTGAAATTGTACCAACAAAATTAATTTTTTTTAAAAAAAGAGTCTGTTGTAGACTTCCACAGAAGAGAATAATGAAATGGTACTTCTAAAGGAATGGCTACATAGAGTTTCTAAATCCATGGCAGAATCTAACCCTCAATCAGAGAAAACTGTTCCTGGCCACTTATCTTGTCATGACCTCATTTTTACACAGAAACAATATTCCAACACTGCCTCCCCAACTAAAGTAAAGTAATTTCTTTTCATACCAGGTTTATTAAGAATGGGGGCACAGCTTTGTAACCAAAATTCTTCCAATATTTCTGGCTATGAATAGACCACCCTATACCTTTACAGTCATGAGCCCCTAACCCTAAACTTTTTGTTTTCAGTATTTTCTTACATATTTTCATATGTGTGCTTTTCCAAATAAACTTAAAATAAATTTTACAAGTTGCCAGGGGAGTAATTTTATTGAATTTTGAACATATTCTTGTCAGAGTAAATTTAAATAAAATTTGACATTCTTGTAAGACTGAACTATCCTATCTAAAATGAGGTATATCTTGACATATTTGAATCTTCTTTTATATCTTGTAGTATAGAGACCTGTATGGTTTTATTTATAGAGTGTCTCAAATATGATTCCTAGTATTTTATGTTACCAATGGACTTCAGTTACACTTTCTTATAGATTCAGAAACCCATGTTATTAAGCCTATGACACATTTTAAAACTTAAATTTTACTATTCTCCACTTGATCAAATTATTTCAGATTCTATCTGTGTCTTTATTTCACTCTCCTAAGTTTCTGAGAGTAATCATTTTTTCTCCACATATTTTTTTGTAAAAGTTAACATTTTCTGGGTCAGGGACAGGGGCTCCAAAAATGTATGTTGTGGTCTTCCACAGCTACACAAATCTCAGCAGCTGTGTCACTAATGTTAAGAGAATTATCATAGCATTATTCAGAATTTTGTTCACCTCTTTAACACCTGGCATTTCTTTCTGACCACAAGGTCACTTAACCTGCTATTTTTTAAATTTACAGTTCCCTCTCCGTGAGGAGAAATAACTATTGGTAATGACCTCCACCCTATGCCTTTAAAGTAAGCCTTTTCCCAGATGGCCTGTACAGAATAAAAGTGAACCCTGGGCATCCCGGCCATGCTTTCTGCAGATGCCTGATCTTCCCGGCTCATTCCCACCTTATTTCTCTCCCGTTGTCTCAGCCCTGGGTGGTTCTAGCCACCCGTTTTCCTCTTTTATCTCCCATGGGAAAGTCTGTCTTCACCTATTTGTAACTGCCTGACACAAAAGCTTTTGCCCAATACTCTTATTCCTCTCTCCTAGACATAACAGCTCTCTTCCTGTGGTCCTTGCTACCCACCACATCCTATCATACACAGGCCTGCCCTCTTCTGAGCCTAGGTTAGGCTTCATAGGGGAAAAGTTCAACTACCTATGAAATATTTGGTGCATGGAACACCAGAAAAACAAGATGGCCATGCAGGACCCAGGATTTAGCAGACAGGTAGCCTTCTGTCCACAGAAGTCCAGCAGTCCTAGAGAGACAAGCCAAGGGAAGAACTGACCTCTGGTTGGTGGGATACAGCTCCACTGTGATCACATCCAGAGCATTCCAGGCAGCGATGCTGGTCCCGCAGAACAGGCACTGCCAACCAATCATCGCAGACTCACTGTTGCCAAAAAACAGGAAGAAGCAGCAAACGGCCGAAATCAACATGGAGCCACCTGTGAGGGAAGTCAAGGCAGAGAGAAGCGTGAAGGCTGTGTCCTGGACAAGGCTTGCGCCCACATCTCACCTCATCTCCCTTCCCCAGAGGCGCACCTGAAGGATCAGGTGATCTGTGAAGCACCTGGTTCCTCTGGACAGAACGTGCACAGGTATCTCAGAGAGCGTTTTGAAATCACCACTCTGTGGCACTGCTCAGCCCAAAACCAGAGAATGAGGCAGATGGAGGTATCTGTCAAGAATTTATGATGTGCCTGACATTGTTCTAGGTGCTTGAGAGGCATCAGTATCAATTTTTAAAAACCTATTCTGGCATTGAAATCAGTATATCAAAGAGCCACCTTCATTCCTGTGTTCACTGATGCACCATTCACAACAGCAGAGACAGTCAACACAAACACCTACCAACAGATGAATAAGGAAAGTGTGGTATACACACGAGGAAATATTATGGAGCCATTTAACAAACAGCGATATCCTACTGTTTGCTGTCAGATGGTTAGAACTAAAGGACACAATAAGACAGACACAGAAACAAATATTTCGCAATCTTACTTATCCATGGAATCTAAATAGTAGGACGGAGAAGTAGAAAACAGAAGAGTGGTTATCCCAGCAGCTGGGGTGGACTGGGGAGATGGTGGTTAAAGGAGACAAGGTTTTGATTAGGAGAAACACATTTCTGAGATCATGTTATGGTTTGGATCTGCAGTGTCCCCCAAGAGCTTGGGCATTGAAAGCTTGGTGCCCCTGGTACCGATAAAAAGGAAAAAGACAAAAAAAAAAAAAAAGAAAGAAAGAAATCTTGGTGCCAGTTGGTGGCACTGGGGTGTGACCTTGAAAGGGACAATGTGGCGATGGCCCCTTCCTCTCTCTTTTTCTGCTTCCTGGTTGCTACAAGGTGAGTAGCTTTGCTCTGCCACACATGCCTTGACATAACCTTCAGCCTCACCACAGGATCAAAGCAATGAGCCCGAGTGATAATGTACTGAAACCATGAGCCAAAATAAACCTTTCACCCATTTAAGTTGATTATCACAAGTATTTTCGTCATAGCAATAAAAAAGCAACCAGCACAAACCTATTGCACAGTTGAGTGACTGTAGTTAATAACAATACATTATACATTTCAGAAGTTTTGAAAGACATTTTAAATGTCTCATCACAAAAATAATAAATATGTAAGGTAATGAATAGGTTAATTCACTTGATTTATCCATCCCACATTACATGTATATATTGTAACGTCACCATATACCATATATATATATATACAATTATAATTTATCAATAGAGATAAAAAATATTAAACATTTTAAAGAAATGTAAACATTAATTACACTTAAAACTTAATGTAAACATTAGTTAATTAATTAATAACACACTTAAAAACATAAGCATTTTCATCAAGCTCACCTTCCAGTGAGAACATGTTCCTCCATGAGCTGCCCAGGAGCAACCTCAAGAAAGGCTGCACTCCTCTCCACCATTTACCCCATCTCCACTCAGAAATCTCTGCCCTTTCATTCCTGCTGCGCCCCCTGGGCAAGCTGAGCCATGGACACCCTTACCCATTGGGAGGAGAAAGAGGTTGAAGTATTTCGCCCTCTTTTGCCACAGGCTCCTCCCTGAGCTCCTCCCAGGCAGCTCCCCCCCACCCCCCACCCCCCCACCCCCCACCCCCCACCTCCCCACCCCAGCCCACCACCACCCCCCCACCCCGACCTCTGCTAATGCTCTTTTCACTGGCTGACCCTGCAGCCATTGAGGAGTGACAGAAACCCACATTTGCTAGTGTCTGGGTGTCTCGTCCACCTCACCTGTTCTCAAAACCCCGTCCATGCCTCTAAACTTATTCCCTCAATATAATCTCTTCACTGGAACCTCCTGGTGTGAATTCTTTTTCCACTCTATTAGGACTCAGTCCTAATAGTGAGGATAATGAGTCCTAATAGAGGAATGATAAGAGAATCTCTCAAGGGAAGACTGCCAAATTTGACCCCAGCCCAGTAGCTCCATCAGGGGAGTTCAGGAAATCCCAAGTGGGTGTGGCCTGTGATAGAACAAACTACAGGAACCGCACAGGAAAAGCGGTGGGCCCGGGGTCAGCAGGAAGGAGGTCAGAAAGCAGGCCCGGAAGAACCAGCTAGGCATCAAGGCCATGGGAAGTGAGGAAAGCTGGTTCCCAAGAAACTGGAAGGCTGGTGTGGCCTTAATAGGAAATGTCTCCATGGAGGCACTCCCATCCTGAACTCACTCTCAGACCAGGGGCTGCAAAACTGGTACCACAGCCTGCTGATGAGCTGGGAAATGGTAACTGTAATGGACTCTGTGGACTCTGGACAGCGGTAAGTCCATGCCAGGTGCCCAGCAACCTCTTTGAAACATCCAGGAAACAGTTTGAAGGGAAGGGGATCCTCTGGGGATCACAAGTGCCCTGAGAACAGCAGTACCCTGTACCTGCAAGCAAAAGGGTCAGCAAGAAACTCAGCTTACAATAAATGCTGATAAATGGCTGTTACTCAGAATATGAACAAAGGAATGGCCAGTGTGGTCTAGCTTCACCACCTAATACCCATGGGACCTCGGATGGGTCACTCTGCACTATCACACTTGCCCATCTGTAAAACGGTGATAAAAACAGTACCTAGCTGAAAGGATTATGATGCGGATTCAACGTGTTAATTCTTACAAGTTGCTTGAAACACAGCCTGACACATAATAAGCACTTCATAACCTTAGTTAAATGGATTTCTAGCTTATGTCTGTCCCTCCCAATAGATCATTTGCTCTTTGAGCACAGGGTTACTGACTGGCTCAATTACTGCTCCATTCCCATTGCTTCCCACAGTGTGGCAGAGAATAGCTGCTGCATACAAAAATGTTTATTGAGTGAATACATGAGTGAGTAATAGCCTCATTAGGAAAACATCTACTCTGACGCTAATAAGAAAGGACTTGCACCCAGCCAAAAACTCCACAGAGAAACCAAAACAAAGCTGCTCTAGCAGGTCCTCCAACGGGGTTGGTCTGTGGCTGGAGAACAGGCCATTTCAAAGGGGTTCCCCACTTTCCACTGTGACAGTGTGGGATGTATCCTGACTGAGCACCTAGCATTTCCTCTGTGCTGAGAATACAGGATCTGGCCTACCGGATGGCCAGCCTTTTTCTAAAGGCTGAGGGTTCAGAGACCCAGAAGGAAGCATCAAAACCCTCAAGGAGCTTGTGATCTGGTTCAGAAACAAAACAGAGGCGGTAATCAGAGACCAGTGTGTGAAGAATGAGTAACTCGTAGGTCTGGATCTCTAGTTTGGGAGCACACCTTCGCGCAGCACGACAGAGGTCAGCTGCGATCGGGGATGCATCCGTGATGACAAGAGTGGCTTCCACGGCAAGGAGAATGGCGCTGGCTGTCCCACCGTCCTGCCTGCTCCCTGCCTGGGAGGGGCACACATTTGCACTTACCCCAACTCTGCAGACCATGCCTCCCCAGACCTTCCCTGGCTCTATTTATAGAGCACTAAATATGCTGTCAGAACTCTCAACTCAGAAGGCCAAGTAGCAGAAGTGTTACCAATCCACTCTCTTTGTCATTTAAGCAGAGATATTATTTTAATGATTTTTAGGAAATGGAATCTCCTGGAAGTGAAGGAACTTGGACGACTCAGGAAATTAATTTTGACCAAGATGGCAGCCTAATTTACAGCACACCCTCTTCTGATGTCTTGGGGCTTTCGGCTCACACAGGAAAGTGGCCATCCTCATTGGTTCTAGTCAATTCTGTGGCTGTACCAAGTGCCAGCACCAAGTGTCAGCTGTAGGCAGACACTGTGCTGGGAATGGGCATTACAGAAATTAAAAGCTCTGTTCCTTCTCTCACAGGACTTCAGGACAAACCAGGACACTGCCTCTAACAGAGACAGTTCAGTCTGCTGTACCTACAAGCAGACTCTCCTTCCTCCGCACAAGATTAAAAAGCCCAAATCACCTGCACTTCATGTGCTGAATATTCATGGTCCCAGTTATAATAGTAATATTCAATATGAGTCAAACTCACCTACACAGACCTGATCAACGGTCTCATTTCCAACAAAATGTCTATGATTTATTTTGTTTCCCTTCAAACTTGGCTAATAGAAAGCTTCATATTAATTGTCCTAATCAACTATATCCCCAGAGCAGATCCTTAATGGAATTTTTTTAAATGTGTTTCCTGTTTCTCCACCTTGACTCAAATTCTAAAACATGATCCTAAATACAGACATTTCGTTTCTTACTTTGCATGGCACTGTGTTTCTGTGGCAAATGCTGCTGATCCTGGAGAAATGGAGCAGCCCTATATGAATATGACTACCAGCTTTAAGAGTCTACAACACATCACGCTTTACAAGATACTGGGGCCACGGTTTGCTCAGTTCTTAACAATATTTCATCTATTATCTATAGGCATCCTAATCTTAGAAACAGAAGTGAAAGCCAGATAAGAAAAGGAACACTTCCAAAGTCAAATAATTATTATGCAGTAGGACTTCAGCAAGGGCCTGTTCAACTCCAAAGCGCAAAACACTGCTACTAGCAAACAATAAAGGCAATATGCTGCATCTTAAAGAATCAAACCATCAGGCTGGGGATTTAGCTCAGTGGCATAAGCACCTGCCTGGCAAGTACAAGGTTGTGAGTTTGATCCCCAGTACCAAAATAATAATAATAATAATCAAACCATCATTTAAGAGCATTTTACACTTTTTCATAATAATACTATGAAGCAGGTAGGTTGAACATATTCATGATCCTTATGGAAGTGAAAACAGAACAAGTCTAGAAGAGGCAAAGAGTCCATCTTCTAAAACTCTTGCCATGGAGCGCCAAGCTTCCCTAGACGTGTTTTGTTGGGTCTATAACAGTAGACTCAGTCTTACCTGCTAGGGTTACTCTACAAGATTTTCTTAAAAGAAACACTCCATTGCTTTATTGTCCTTGAAAGCCACTCCCTAGCCATGGAAGTCAGTGGAATACTGCCAACAACTCACCAATCATCTTGAGCCTTCCGATCCTATCCATGAGCAGGGCAGAAATGATGTTCCCAGGTAAGACAGACAGGCTGCCCAGGAAGCTGACAAGGTAAATCAGGAAGTCATTGTCCTCCTCAAAATCCATGTGGCAGCCCTCCTTCTGCTCCAGAAAGGTGGTATTGATGAAGTGACAGTTGATGAACTTATGCTTGTAGAGGTCTGTGGAGAGAAAGAAAGCTTTGGGTCCTATGAGTGGAGGGGATGGGGGACAGTAGGGCAGAGGCAGGGGCAGAATTACACTCCCTCCCATGGGCAAGCTATGACTCAAAGTGGCCATCCATCCATGGCCAGGCATGGATGGATAGAGGCACTTCCAAGTATACAATGATCTCTTCCAATTACCGTAACAAAGAGAAATAAAATTAAGATGAATTCAAGGAACACTTTAAAATATATCATCTCTCCAACTGCATGAAAGTTCTGTCTGTATCAGTCACGTAATAGTAAGAGTCACAGTGGCTGGGCCACTGTCCTGAGGCTACCTGGCTTAGTATAACAGGATTCAAGAGAATCAGATCCAGAAGAAGCCAATCTGTGCAGAAGCTTCCTTAACAAAAAGATCCTATTTTTCACACCTTTTTTATTTTACTTTTTGCTTTTGTTTCTTGAGCTAGAATCTCACTATGTAGTTCAACCTGGCCTGGAACACACCATGTAGCCCCCAGCTACACTGGCCTCCAGCTCATGGCAACCCTCCTGCCTCAGCCACCTGAGTGTTGGAATTACATGCACCACCACATCCAGCTGTTTGCACACCTTCTGACACTAAGACCTGCTATCCTAGGAGTCAGAAGGCTAAACTGGGAACTTGTATTTGGGGAACTGACTCTCTTAAACATCCCTGAGTCTCTGCTTATAAAACTGGAGGCATGGGCCTGATTATCCCCATTGTTTCTCCTACCTCTGACAGTGCCCAACTGTGTTTGCAAAAACATTCTGTGTTAACAATATGCAAATGAAGAGGAACCATTAAAACTTGAAAGAAAAAAAGAATGGACTAGTTTTTAATGACAAGGAGTAAATTTCTAGAGCTTATTTTTTTTTAATTGAGGCCAAAATAAACCCAAATTCAGAAAGGTAAATCTTGTAACAGATCATTAAGAGACTGAGGGACATTTAGACACCAGGTATTGAATCTTTTGTGGCTGTTATCACAGAGGATAAGGATGCTCTCATATAAACTATCCCTTGGTACCAATACTGGGGACAGAGCATAAATCCAGATATAATGTAAGTAGTTCGATGGAAGGAGCACAGACTGTACAGCCAAACAATTGAGGAGTATTTCCAAACTCTGCCCCCCTCACCCTGCCAGCTGTGCCTCTGAGCAAGTCAGTTAAGTCTCAGTTCCTTCTGGATAAGGTGGGGATGGTCATAGTATGCTTCTTAGCTGAGATCACGTTAGCTAAGGCTCTTCATAAAATTCATTCTGTTTCCTTACATCTCAACTTTACTCAGCATGTCTTAACCTCTGATGAGAGTAGCACAGCTAACAAGGCATGGTGGAGTAGTGCAATGTTGTGACGTTTTAAGTCACAAAAATCTGAAATTCCTAAAATATTCTTAGCAGCTTGCTTTATGCACAGAATTTGAACATGGATAAGTTCCCCTTTTCATTTATTATTGTGAAAATATGAGATGAAATTTCAAATTATGCAACCTTTTCAAGAATGCATTTCCATGCACAAAATGCAGCGCTCCAGGAATGTTGGCCTTTAACTGGCCTACCAAAGACACTTAGTACACGCATCAGTCTCATCTAGACAGAAGATGCCAGAACTTTTGTTTCTACTTGATAAGTGATGAAAACTGAGACACAGACAAATTAAATCCCTTGGCAATTGTTGAGCACTTTGTATGTGTCACCCCTCAGGCTAGACCTGTTTCTCCACCCAAAGGCTTGGCACTGTATCTACAAATATTTTCCTCCTTTTGAAACTTGTGACTGTTTTGGAACTTAGACACCATTCTAGCCTCATCCTATCAATGCTCTTACCTGTGTTGTAAAAGACAGTTGACTCAATGGTGCAGTTTTTGAAATAGGTATCAGTAGATGTGACATCTTCAAAGTAGCACTCGTCAAAAAAGGTGTCCTCAAAGAGTACGTGTTTAAAGTACATCTTTGTGAACCTGTGGGAAAAATGTTAGCCCCTGAGTGATTCATTCCAGACACAAAAAAAGAGATTTGAAACTAAAGCAGGAAATACACAGGGGCAAAAACAAGGAATTCCACATCACAAAATGCACTGAAACGTTATTTTCAACCAAGACTAGCTCCCCATTTCTTAGCCGTTTATTTGTTACTACATCAGGAGTTTAGAAACCAGCATCCAGTCCAGGCATGTACAAGGGACTCCGCACTAACTTGGTGGTTCCCAAATGTAGGTCCATGGATCATCTACATCAGAATCACAGAAGTGTGAAATTATGTGAGAAGAAAATATAAGACAACACCGCCCTTTTTCAGGAGCCTTAAAACACATGTGGGTCCCTAGGCTCCTCCTGGGTCTGGAAGCAACACAGAGTTGAAGGCCTAAACTGTTCGTTTTTTAAAGTGCCTCAGCACTGATGTTGGGAAATGAACACTTTCATCCACCCCAAGGGTAGAACTTAAACCATGCAGACTCTGGGGAACAACTCTGCAAAATTTAAAATGCACACATTTCCTGTGGCCTAGGAATACCATCTCAAGGAATTTGTCCCACATGGATTTGTTCACATATTCAAAGAGACACGTTCACTCATCTTCCCTACAACACAGCTTGCAATAGTAACACATGCATTCCTACATAGGTAAATACACACATACATACACACATGCATACATACTAAGCCATACAATAAAATTTCACGTATCCATTACAGCACTTGAGGTAGACTCATACAAGTTAGTATGTATTGTCAGGTGGAGATGTAGTATAAAGTATAAGCATGCGACCATTCTTGAGAAAAGGCAATGTACATGCAATTCCAAATATATCAGTAGAGTTACACAAGCAACTGGGAGTAGTGTGTTCTGAGGAGACGCAGAAGAAGTACGAGTGAGATTAACTTTCTTTACAATATTATAACAAGTGTGTGCATTGCGTTTTTTGCTTAAAAATTCACTGAAAAAGAGGGAAAGGCAGCTACACGGCTAGGAAGTGCAGCCACGTTTGGAAGCCACCAGCACTACCCAACTCCTACATTAACTGAGAGAGGAAGAAAAAGATTATGCACTTCAAATCTAACTCACACACATTAACATCATTCTCTGCTGTTGGTCGAACTTCTAGCCTGTGATTTTGGCCGTGTTTTCATTTGTGAGTAATCACAGTCCGTTCACTCATTCACTGATGGATCCAGTCTTCAGCAAACACCTACTGAACGAGGTGCTATGAGTACAGAGAGGAAAGCCACAGCTCCAGCCCTCCAGTCTCATTGGGTAAATGAAGCTATAAAACAATGGGACTCACAGGGTTGGAGATGGCACGGCGTGCTCAGGGTCACCGTTCCCCTTCAGAGACCTGAGATAATTTGCTCCTGACCATATTTCACAGCCACTGATCAGCAGCTCTCATGCCATAATGTGTCCTGCTCAAGCCTTCACCTAGAACCACCTGTCATTAACTTCTGCAAAAGACCTCCCAGCCTACAAGGTTGACAAGCGCTCATCAAAGGGAGATCCCAGAATGAAACAGGAAACTCTCCACACAGATGCACTTTCCCAGCACTCAGGAGGCTGTGGCAGAAGGATCGCCATTTGGAAGCCAGCCTAGGTTACTATGTAAAGAGTTCAAAGCCACTCTGAGCTACATAGCAAGACCCTATCCCCAAAACAAAAATAAAAACAACCAAGCAAAAAAGATTCAGTGTTCTTCACTTTAATCTAGATTTCTTGAACCACAATCACCAAAGCAGACCTCAGATTATAATACTTCTAAAAATTTGAGAATCATCACTCTAGAAATCAAAATATTTTAGAATATTCAGGGATCATTTTACTACAGATTTTTAAATGCAGTAGAAGCTTCTAAAATCCGCTGTGAACTCTTCTGGTTTCCATTAAGAAACTAATTGGTAAGCCTTTTATTACAGGAAGATGCTTATGATTTCAAAATTTGCATGCCAGATATATTTACTCAGGAGAGCTATTCCTGGAGACTCTCTCAGGCCTTTGCCTTTCTTAATATATCTTTCTCTTTAATATAATAATAATAAGCTGGCAATTTGGCCTTCAGTGATATTTTAATATTCTTCCAAGGGTGGGTGAGAAATCTGAGCCATAAATCATAAATGAGCCTGACACAGGCAGACCTTCAAATGTATCTCTAAGTGAGTTATAAAAAGCCAAAATTATAAGGAAAGAGATAAAAGGAGAAAGGGCCAACACATTTTTTATAAATCTTTACATAAATATCTCCTTCACTCTCTAACTTATATACTAAAGTGGTCCAAGATTCTTTAATCAGGAGAGTTCAGAGACTGAAATTCTTATACCAGAATATTCAGAGACTGAAATTCATGTCAGAAGTATGAGTCTTGCAGAAATTTTCCCTTCAAGAATGAGAAATCAACAGTGATCCAAGGCCTAGGGCAGAATTATTATTATTACAAGTACTTCATTTAAGTTACTCCCAAACTTAGTTCTTACTTTACCAAGTGACCTGAAGTACAGCAAAGTCACCTTTATCAAGTCATGATCTAGGTTCATAGGTATCATGATCTAGGTTTCCTGGTATAACCTGCAAGAAACTTAGTCTAATTAAAGAGATAATAAAGAAAATCAACCATTAAAATATAGCAAGATGATGATCAGGACGGAGGTACGCAAATCCCATCACCTCCAGGGGCACACTTGAGACCAATGAGATGGGTATCCTATAGGACAAGAGGATCTCACGGAGTAGGGCATTCCAGGTGCTGGGTACCAGTTAATTAACTTTTTGTTAAGTACAGAATTCTCTTGCAGAGAGAAAATAACTAAAGATACATTTCCCAAACCTTACACCCTTACAAGCCCTGCTACAATGAGATAAAGCACAGTGAAATGAGATAAAGGCCTTCAGAAAAGGGGTGGCAACCCCACTTCTGACATGTTAACGTATCAGCTCCAAGCTCCAGCAAAAAAAACAAAGAGAATCGTTCACTTAGAGAAGAAATACTTGGGAGTAATTTGCTTAAAGAATAGAAGAAGTAGAGGCTGGGGATTTAGCTCAGCTGTAATAAGCACCTGCCTGGCACGTGCAAGGTCATGAGTTTGGTCTTCAGGTACCAAAAAATAAATAAAAGGAAAAAGAATAGAGGAAGTAAACTCATTTCCTGGTGCTCTGCATCACTTGCCACATTCTCCACAATTACGCTTCAGGCCTGTACCCAACTCTGACAGCACTTCCACAAAATGCAGAGATCACCTTGCAGCTTTTAACCCACAATGGATCCGAGCAATTTCAGGCAAGTCTGCTCTGCTCCCCAGGCCTGCATTTAAAATCCATAAAATAGGGGTACTGAGGAGATGGACTTTCCCAGCCGTAGTATATGGCTCTATAAATATAGAGTACCTTCACTGTCCATATCCCCAAGGAAGAAATAAATGAGTGGCCTTAGGAAATGGCTCTTTCCTCTCTACTGAACTATTAACTTCATGGAGAACCACAGAATGTTCTCCCCTAGTGCCAATGTCAGTCAAATACTGTCTCTAAGGGCACAGTGAGCCTGCCAGTAATCCCAGCTTCTTTTTCTCTTTTACACTCAGGTTTCCCAAGTGTAAAAACCACAATAGCTCATGTCATCACCTTCACAAAAATTCTACCACATTACTGCATTTTGGGTTATAAACTGAAGTAGAATCTAAAGAACAGAGCATAAGGCAAAAAGAGAACTAATAAAGATAAAACCATTTACTAAATGAACAATGGAAAATTAGGATTCGTATATAAATATAGTCATACACATCCTAAATAAAACGCTAATTGCTAAAATCTGGAAATGAACCAAAATCCCTTCAACTGATAAACCAAATACAGTGGTGCATTCACAATATGGAAATGAAACAACTCCACAATAAAAATACATAACTGTTATCCATGAAGCAATATAGATAAAGCCCAATGCATTACACTAAGTAAAAGAATCAAGTTCCAAGGGCTTCATGTTACAGGATACCATTTACAGGATACAAAAAGATCACAGGCAGCCTGGCATGGTGGTACACAGCTGTAACCCTTGCACGCTGGGAGGTTGAGGCAAGAGGATTGAAAGTTTGAGTCCAGCCTAGGCAATTTAGCAACTTAGCAAGAGGTTGTCTCAAACTTTTTTAAAAACTGTCCAGGGATATAACTCAGTGTGAAACCCTGGCTTCAAGCCTTAGTACCCCAAAAAAGTTGAGGGGAGTAAGAGGAAAAGAGAAAAGAGAAAGAAGGAAGAGAAGAAAGGAGAGTGGAGGGGAACTGACACACCAGAGGAGGAAGGCTACAAAATGGCATGAGAAGCCAGGCGTGGTGGCTCACGCCTGTAATCCTAGCCCCTGGGAGGCTGAGGTGGGAGGCTGAGGTGGGAGGCTGAGGTGGGAGGATGGCTGCGAGTTCAAGACCAGCCTGGGCTACAAAGTGAGCTCAAGGCCAGCCTGAACTGCATAGTGAGAGCCTGTCTCAAAAAGACAAAAAAAAAAAAATGGCATGAGGAGATTCAGCGAGCAATGTAATTGTTGTGCATCTTTATGATTATATGGTTATATGATTGCATGTATTTGTCAAAACTCACAGAAGTGTACACCACAAGGGTGAATTTTATTGTAAATTATACCTTGATTAAAAAAATAGAAGTCCAAGAGATTTCTAAGGTAATTATAGTTACAACAAAATTCAAGCCAAATTTAATGACTGACTAGTTTGACTCCACATCTCCACATACCATAAAACAAAAGGAAAATCATTTCTAAGTCTTAGATGTCTGACTTGCGACCAAAAATTACAAGACACACAAAAAAGCAAGAATGAAACATATCAAACCATAGTAATTTACAAAATGAACTATGATGTAAATATGAACAGTATCAGGCGGGAATTTAATATACTTGTTAGAGTAGTTGGGGGATTCAATAGAGAGGCGAACACTGTGAGACTGAGTCATGAAAATTCTAGAACAGTTTT